TAAACACTAATATTCTATGGTCATAATTTATTCCACTGGGATCGTAACAATTCCAATGGAATAAATTATGACCATGGAATATTAGTGTTTAAGCCTTTTTATTATATCCTTACTCTGTCCTGGACATTGGATTCTATCCTCTTGGAATTTTTTATTCAAAAAATATATATGTATGTATGTATGTATATTTATATATTTTGCATATGTATGTGTATATTTACCACTAATATTATATATATATATATATATATATATATATTCCCTTTCATTCATTATATTAATTTAATTTACACGCTTATATATACTTGATAAGACTGGGACGAAACCGGTTGTTCTTTTTAGCTTTTTAAAAATGCCATATAAATTTTGCTTTTTCCTAGCTATCATTAAATTTTGTACCACAAAAAAATATATATATATATATATATATATATATATATATATAAGTTTGTCACTTTACTGATTAATGTTACCTTCTGCATCCCAACTCCAGAGTTTTGTAGACAGACCTGTCTGTCCACTCTTCAGGGGATATCAGCAATTGACTGCTTATATTTCTCAATTTTTCTTTTTTATGCACTTATCATTGATGTAAGTTTTTCTATATTGTTTGTGTGCGTGTGACCATGTGCCTATCTGCGTGGATGTGTAGGGTCTTGTGATTATTTGTCCTTTACTTCCTTTTTTTTCTTCACTTTACACTCTCTCCTTAGCTTTTTCTCTTTTTTCCTTTTCCTCTTTTCTTTCAATTATAGCTATTTATTGCTATTTTGTTTCTGGTTTTTACTTTAGACATGTTATCATTTTTAATTTTTGATTGTTCTGGTCTTGTGTTAGGAATGTTGTATTTCATTTTTACATAAATAATCTTCATTCAAACATGTTTCATTGAATAATATAGACATAGTGTGTCTACTTATTTTTATACTGATCCTTTCCAGTTCTCTAATAAGCTCCTTCGTGTTAAGATGAAATTTATCAAGGAAGGCGCTGTAGTTTCTTTAACTTAAGTACTTTCGATCTTTTCAAAGCTCATCTTCAGGTGCAAATTACAAAGACAAACTTATTGTAACTGTGATAAAATATGCATTCCAATTTTTAAAAACACATGTACAGACTCTGTAATTATTTTTAAATTTTAAATTCATCCATTGTAGGTATGGAATTTTTTTGCAGTTACAATATGTTTGTCTTTGTAATTTATCCCTGAAGATGATCTTAGAAAAGATTAAAAGTACTTGGGTTAGGTATTTGCTTACTATAGTTATTTTAGAATTTTAAATTTATCCGTTGTAGTTATGGAATTTTTTGCAAGACAAGTGTTTCAATATAAAGAAGCTGGCTGGAAATTAATAGAAATATGAAAGGCATTAACTGTTATATGCACTTTAATATATTGTTACTATATTCATAATAAATTTAGTTGAGTGTTGGTTGGTTGATTGATTTTGATATAGAGAGCTTTGAGTATTTGAAGTTTTTGTTTATTATTTTCGTGGTGTTGTCAACAAGTATTTTCCTGTATTGTGAAGATGGACAGGAATGTGTTTTCAGATGTTGTGCAATAGAACTTTTATCTGACAAATGAAGTGTAAGACATCTTGATAATATTTAAAAGACTATATCATTACTTACTCCATGATGCTATTTGGTTTCATCTTCGTTTTGTCCTTTTACATCAAGGTAAAGAAAATTGATATAATTTTTTAATAAAAATCTTAGCTCTATTCTTTTACATTGAGCACCGTTTTTTGGTTTTTTTTTTTTTGTCTTCCAACACTCACATATACATATAACTTAGAGTTCAGACTGAAAAAAGATAAGTGAACTATTTCAATTTAATTATTAACAATTTTTTCTGGTTCAGATTGTGAGGTAAATTTTCTTTAATAAAATTCAAATGATCCAGGCTGGTAGATATTAATTTCATTGTATATAAATAAACAGAGATATCTCCTCAAACACACATACACATTAAGATGATATTTATAGTAATCAGTAATATAAACTGTAAAAAAAAAAAATACCCACCAAATATTATAAATTGTAACCTTAAAATCCCCATTATCTAAAGATTAGATAAAATACTCTTCCAGCATTGGTAATGCAGTTTTAAAACATGGCTGTCTACTTACTCTTTTAAATGATATTTTGTTTTAGCTATTGCTTCATTAGCAGATATAGGAATGAAGGAATAAGTCTAAAGACAATCTTAGAAAATAAACCTAACTAAATAATCTAATACAACTTAGTTTGAAAAAAAAGCTAAGTGAAGTATTTAATTTTAATTAGTAATAATTGTATTATTTTTAAGCAATTAATTATTTTTTTTTAATATGACATTATTTCTTATTACTATAAAGGTTATATTTAGTTTATGAGGAATTGTGGAAAAGATAACAGTTGAACAGATTGAGATTGTAATGGGGTGGAAAGTATGCTCTTGGGTGTCAATTCCACAAGGTATGAACCTTGTCAAGCACACTGACACAAAATAAAAAGTGGATCTGAAAAATGTTAAAAGTGGGAGGAGGAAGGGGGGGGCTAAATCAGATGTTCAAAGTGGGAAGCAGGCACTAAATTAGATGTTAAAAGGGGGGGGGGCTAAATCAGATGTTAAAAGTAGGAAGTGAGCAGTAAATCAGATGCTAAAAGTGGTAGAATGGGGCTAAGTCAGATGCTAAGAGTAGTAGGAGGAGGCTAAGTCAGATGTTAAAAGTGGGAGGAGAGGGTTAAATTAGAAGTTAAAAGTGGTAGGAGGAGGGTCTGAATCAAATGTTGAATTTGGGAGAGGTGCTTAATCAAACGTTAAAAGTAAGCTGAGGCTTAATCTGATGCTAAATTTAAACAATTCTTGATTCTGTATTTGTTTTTATTTCATCCTGTAATAAAATTAATATTTCTTCAATCCTAGTGTAAACATTTTTTTCTTTAGAATTTTAATTTTCTCTTTTTGCACTTGTACTTATCTTCTTGAATGAGACCAAATGACTTTTTTAACATATAAGATTTATATAAAAGCTTTAGAATCTAATGTTTCAGGGGGGAAAAAAAAGAAGGAAAATGGAACTTACCTGATGTTAGAAAATTGACAGCAGCAGATTGAAGGAAAGATGGACAGAAGAAAACAATGCATAACCTATCTAGCTTGAGTTAATGTATGGCAAAATTAGGTTTAGCTGAGATAACAAAAAGATAAAATTTATTAAGAGCTATAAAAGACAGGAAATTATGGAGAGACATGATCACCAACATCCTGAAAGGACACAGCACATAGAAGAAATAGTAGTGTAAGCAGACAAAAATCATCAAAGATGACTGCACGAAACAATCAGGAAAAAATGATGAATAAGAATTGTTGGTTTTCATGGCATAAAAAAATAGAGTAGAACATGTGAGCAACAACAAAGTTCAAGAGAAAATGAACAAAAAAAGGACAGAGGTGAAAATTCTAATGTGCATAATAAGGAAAGAAGGCTTGGAAAATCTGATGCTCTCAAGACAGATTAAAGCCAAGAGACAGCAGAAACAACACATGACCTACCTCATGAGCTTAAAATAAATGGATGGCAAAACAAGATTTAGGAGAGATAACAAAAAGACAAAATTTATTAAGAGCTACAAAAGACTGGAAAGTGTTGAGAGCCATGGCTGCCAATACCTTGAAGGGACACATCACTCAGAAGAATTCTTATAGACAATAGTTATTAGATTTTATCATACTGCTCAGCATATTAGCATTCTTATAGACTGGGGCCAAGAAAACAAAAATGTTCTTCTTTTTAGTTCTGAATCCCAGGAAAAAGTGTAGTGGGAGCTGAAGCTCCTCAGCTCTTCTCCAGAGCCATGAATACTTGTGAGTGTTAAATTCTCCAAACATTCGTTCTTCATTATGTGTCTCAAAAATTTTTCTTGTCTTTTTTTAGGTTTGTTTTGTTTTGTTTTATAGCATATCAATCTCAATGGGTTATTTAATGCCGACAAGATTTTTATTGCTGGTAATTTTTTTTTCAAAAGTGTATTGCTGGTAATTTTTTTTTTTTTTCAAAAATGTATTGCTGGTAATAATTTTTTTTCAGAAATTTATTGCTGGTAATAATTTTTTGCAAAGTATTTCTGGTATTAAAAGCTATTTTTATATTTTAATAGTGTTTTGACCTCAGTTTGGGGGTTAACTATTTACCCATAGCTGGGACTCTAACAGGTGCTACCAGGGTGGACCTAGGATCACCTGCAATTAAGAGGTGGTTCCACGCTCCTCAAAACCTCCTGATCAGCGGCCTTGCAGTTGGACGTAGTTTATCATCATACTCAGGATGGTTACTCTTTAAGAGTTTCTTTGTAGTTCCTAATTATTTTAAGACTTTCTCACTTATTTCTCCATCACAGAATTATGTATTTCCCTGGTAATTCAGAGACTACTTGTTCTTGTTATCAAAATAGCATAAGATGCCATTTTTAACATTTTTGAAGGATCTTTTTTCATATTAATTAACATATATCAAAAAAGGGAGGGAGAAGGGATGGATTCATACCTTTCTGCACTACATGACTGAATTGATTGATTAAGTTGTTTTCCTAGGTTTATCAACACTTTGTAGGTTATTTCAAGCCAGAAAATACTTTTAGATTATAAGAACGTTTTTTGAGTGGCAGGAAATATTGATGCTAGTCTAACTAATTAACCCATAGATGGGGGTGGGGTGAAGAAGTGGATTCATACCTTTCTGGAGGACATAACCCTAATGGATTTTTTGATTGAATCATTTTTCTAGGTTTATTGCAGGTTATTTAAAGTCAGAAAATATTTTTAGATTGTAAGAATATTTTTTTTTTATAAGATAAAGATTTATTGATACTAGTCTTATTAATTAATCTATAGCTGAGAGGAGAAAAGGTGTATTCATACCTTTCACAAGTTTATTTGTACATAAGTGAATATATTGGACCCAACTGGAATTGAAACTTGGCTCTTTGATTAACAATTCCAAGCCATTATTACAGTCACTGGTATTCACAAATGGTCACCCATAGAGGTACTGACCAGGCTCGATGTTGCTTAACTTCAGTGATTGTATGGGAACTGGTGTTTCAATGTCTTGTGGCCGTCAGCCATGAACATTAGTGGCTTTAAGAATGATCAGATTGTGCAAATACTAGAATCTCTATAGTCATTGAACTTTTCTTTTATCTATTCAATGTTAATACTGTATTTTCTTTTTTTTAATGCTGAGCACTTTATTTACAAAAATCTGCTTGCCTTAAATGCATTATCCTCCAGCAGCAATTTACTGACTGACAAGTTTCGCTAGGCATGAACTATCTTTACTATTGTTCTTCAGACCTGGCTATCATTTAATTTCATAATATTCTGGCAACGACATGCTTTCTAATAAAAGCATTTTAACTCTATAAAAAAGAAAGGTTTAAATGTAAAATATAAATGTCAACAATATTATTAAATGCTATTTGTGTTATTACATTTTTGTATACCACATATACATGTGTAATGCGTGATTTTGCATATTGTGTCCCCCCCCCCCAAATTTTCAACTATAAAAATGTATCTTGTGTATCATGCGAGTTCCTTTTTGGAGAGACCAAATTACAATAGACTAACCTGTTTTGCTCTCTCTTTATCCCATCTTCTAGTTAAATAAGTTAAAAAAGTAAAAGTGAATGATAAAAGTATTGTTAGTAATGGTATACTCATTTTGTAAATGTATACACCCAGAAGCAACTGAACAAGAAACAACTAAACATCTTATAAATGTAAACAATGGAAACAATGCATATTTGCTGTTTGTATTTTATAATATGATACTAATATGTGAATTTTACATGCATTATTATTGGATACAGTTAAGTAAAACATCAGTTTTATCAAAATCATATTTATTTTAAATACAGCTGTACTTTTTGAGTGCAGTAAATGGATCTATAGTTTGGTCAACAGTATAGCCAGGGCCAGCAGTACATATGCTAATTTTATATCTCATGTATGATGTGACCCCCTTAAAATTAGCTTCAAAATTAGGTCTTCGAAATTCACATGATACATGAGTATATATAGTACTTATTTTGCAAGCTTGTATCCTGGATTTGTCTATCATAGTCTTTTAATATCTAAATAGTTTTACTTGAGATGGTGAAAGATGCCTTCCAAAAGCTGAGAAAAGTATTAAGAAACAGAAAAATCTAATTAGAAACAAAGAAACAAGTACTGAAGTATTAGTCCTTGTATATGGCAGTGAGTGCTGAACAATCTCCTCACAGATGAAGACAAGACTTGAAGCAACAGAAATATGGTTCTACAGAAGGGTATTGAAAATACCATGGATGGAACATGTGAGCAATGAAAAGGTCGTGGAGACAGTATCAACAAAATAATATTTATATTTAACATGAAGAAACAGCTGAAATTTCTGGGGTGCATAATGAAGAAGGAGGGTTGGGAAATTTGATACTCACAGAGCAGACTGAAGGTAAGAGAGACTGAGGAAAGCAATGCATATAACCTAACAGGCAAGCTTGAGTGAATGGATGGTTGAGTAGGGTTTGGGAGAGATGACAAAAAGACAAAATTTATTAAAAACTACAAAGGACAGAAAATTGTGGAGAGCCATGATCACCAACATCCTGAAGCGACATGGCACATAAAAGAAGAACTATGTTTGTTCATTTTTCTTAGCCTCTTTTTAATATCTATCAATTGATCCTATCAGTTCTATGTGGAATGCTCCTTCAGGAAGTTGGTGATCATTGCTCTCCACAATGTCTAATCATTTGTATCTCTTAGCAATGTTTGTCCCTTTACTATCTGTCCCTGTCCATATTCTGCCATCCATTTACACAAGCTTGTTAGGTAGATTACGTGTGGTTTTCTTTTGTTCCTTTTGCTTTCATTATACCCTGTGAGTGTTAGATTCTCCAACCTTTCTTTCCTCATTATGTATCCTGGAAACTTCATTTCATTCTTTTATGATTCTAAATACAGAGTTCCTCGTTGCTTACATGTTTGGTCTATGGTATTCTCAGCATCCTTCTTTCAAATCATATTTCTGTTGCCTCATGTCTCCCCATCATGATAAATGGATGTCCCCTTGAGGAGGCCCTGTGCTTCTAGAAGATACTGGGTCTCAAACTCACACCCAACCTTAAGTGGAATTCCTATATATGATCCATCACTAAAGATGCAGGTAAAATGGTCGGCTCCTTGTACTGCTCCAGTAAGTACCTGACTCCTCATGCTATCCTCTACCTTTATAAGAGCCAGATCAGACTGGAAATGGAGTACTATTGCCATATTTGGGTGGGAGCTGCCCAGACCTTACTTTCCAGTCTTGATAGAGTTCAAAAGCATTTCCAAGTCCTTGTTGGAGAAGAATTATTTTCCACATTCCAACCTCTCTCTCTCTCACAGTCGGGATGTGGAGAGTCTCTCATTGTTCTATCGCTAATAGCATGGAAAGTGCTTGGATGAACAGCATCTCTTGGTTCCATAGGTCAGACTTTCATGGCTAGGACCTGGCATGCCACTTACATAGTAGCAAACCACCCTCATTCCCTTTGTATTCCATCAGTGCAAAGTAAGTTCCACTCAACTTATTCTTGCATATCACTGCCCTATGGAACAGACTCCCTAGAGTTTCCCCAATCACTACGATCTTAACCTGTTCTATTCTAGAGTCAACCGTTATCGACCCCCCCCCCTTATAAACTACACATTATCATAACCCTCTACCTTGAGTGGCCACTGGACTTTGTACAAGGTGAATATTACTGTAAATAAAAATAATAAAAAAGGCACTATGAAAAAAATTCCTTAACAGTAACTGATTTATAGTGTAATTCTCAAAGTAAATGTCCAGTGTATTACTTAAACATAAAGTGAATTTAGGCAAAATGGCATGAGTTAGAAAAATGGCACAAGTGGAATGAGAGAAATAAAACAAGGGAATGACAGGAGAAAATGACACAATTGGAATATGAGAGGCATATATGGCACAAGTGGACTATGGAGAAATGACACAAGTGGAATAAGAGTACAGCTAATTTTGCATGCTTCTTTATTATACTCCTATTTCTTTGTGCTGCATCCCTTCAGAACATGGACGATCATGGCTCTCCAAAACTTCCTATTCCTTGTGGCCGTTAGCAGTTGTTTTTTTGTTTTTTTTGATTTTTGTTTTTTTTTTGTTTTTTACTTTTGCTGAAACCCTGTCCCCGTTTCACTTTCCATCCACACAATCTCGTTAGGTAGGTGGTTCGCTGCCTTCCCCTATCTCTCTGATTCTCAAAAGGGTTAAATTTCCCAATTCCTCAAGGAATCTAAACTGTCTCTTCCTATTCACGTAAATAAATGTTTTCCCCCAAAACTTGCTGCTCGCAGACGGACTGCCCCTTCCTCAATAAGTCCGCTAGTGCTTGGATTAACTCTCTGATCCCTCACCGATTCTTAAGGACATCTTAGATATCAGAGATTAACCCTGAACCTGACCCTTTCTCTCGCTGTGCATAGGTGGTGGTCTTGCCTGGGGAGATGGCCCTTTAGAGTTAAGCTACCATATTTATTACCCTGGTCACTAATTACAGAGTCTCCCCGTGAAGAAATCAAAATAAATTTAAAAGTCAATCAGTTTGACATAGAAAAAAAAAGAGTTATCTCCCTTTCGTTGCTATTATTACGTTTCAGTTAGCTTGATGAAGATAATAACTATTTATTTATTTTTATTATTGTACCCAAAAGCTTTGATATAAGATTGCAACATTTCAGATTTTTCTACCTTAGGATTTTATTTACAGGACATGAAATAATCAGAATTAACAGAAACCATTATGCTCAGTAGACATGTCCACTAAACACAATACACACATATATGAATATTTATTACCTTTTCTTCTTAAGAATGCTTAAAGAAAATAATATTAAAATAGATACTGGCTAAACATCTTAATTAAATTTTTATTACAATTTATACGTTATTAATGTCTAAATAATATATAATCAAATTTTTTTTTAATTATAAATATTTGCTATATATTTTTTTATATAAGCATTTTCTTTTTTCTGCTATAACTTTCTTTCACTCATTTTTATTTTACTAGGTCAAATCAGCATATTTACATTTTATTTTTAACATATTTCCTCATTGAGGTCATGGATACTTTTAAGTTTTATTACCTGTTAAAATTTTCAAAACTGATTACAACATTTTGGTAATGACTTTTCTTTAGATTTTTCAATTGTTTTTTGATAATGCTCACATAAAAGCAAAGAATTAACAATAAAATAATTTAAAAAATTTACACATCCATTTTGTTTTCACATATTCCATCTTACATATTTTGTCTGGATATTTCATATCAATCATTTATCATATGAATTTGTGTAAGTGAGACCTAGTATAAATAGTTATAAATAATTGTTGACCGATTTTATCATTGTGATATTTTTGCACTATATCAGGTATTAAGAATATAGTAACTAGGGTCCACAAATTAGAGGAGAAAGTTATCAATCCACAGTTAACCCTTTAACCTTCTCGCTATCTTTTATTTTTAAATGTACTTTATATCACATAGAATTTGGCAAGGCATGAGCAAATTTTCATTCTGAAAATGTGGCCCAGAGAAAAAATGTTTGGGAACCACTGATCTATATAATATCTTGATTCTACATTATTTGGTTATTTCCTTTTCTCATGAAAATATTTGTTAACTTACAGATTTTGTATGTACTCTTTATTTGTTCATATGTATAAAGAGTGCTAAAATAATGTTTAGAATAAATACATGCCAGTTTGTTTGGAATGTCATAATTATCCTTATTAACTGTTAGTAAATTGGCTTAATTCTTAAATTTGTTTTTTTGTTAGCAAGTAAAATAAATTATCTATGTATCCATGCAAATATAATGTTTTGAGTTAGTAAAATGAGTTATATAATGTATTTCATCTTATAGATTGTTTTGTAAAAAACATCACAACTTATACAGTGTGCAGTAAAAATACCTCCCACAAAATGATAAGATATTAGCTAGGTGAAGACACCATTGCCACTAATGCCTTACTTTGGGAGAGATATTTCATTTTACATAAATTTAACT